ATTGCCCATATCTTAAACTTGGTAGTTCAAGATGGCCTGAAAGACTGTGATAGTTTTGTTAAGAAGGTTAGGGAGGTGGTTAGATATGTTAGAAACTCTCCTGCTAGACTTAAGAAGTTCAGGGATTTGGCTGATTGGTTGAGTATTGAACAAAGCTCTTCTTTGTGTTTAGATGTTCCAACCAGATGGAACTCTACCTATTTGATGTTGCAGTCTACATTAACTTACCATAAAGTGTTTGAATCTTTAGAGTCTGATTGTTCTTTCAAGTCTGATTTGGGTAATTCAATTTCTGATTTTATGGACTGAGAATCTGTTGGCAGTTTGGTTCAGTTACTGAAGTGTTCTTATGACATGACCATTAGAATTTCTGGTTCTTTATATGTCACCTCAAACACATTCATTACTGAGATTTATGATATGTACTGCCTATTGAAAGGCATGGTGGAAGCTGGTGGGGCAGTTGGTGATATGGGGAAAAATATGAAAGCAAAATTTGAGAAGTATTGGGGTGATGTTGAAAAAATGAATCTAATGATATTTTTTGCAAACATTCTAGACCCTAGAGACAAGTTAGAGTATATGCCTACTCAGTTTAATCATATGTATGGTGAGGAAAATGGTAAACCATTCTATGACAAAGTAGTTGCTGCTCTTACTGAGTTATTTGATGATTATTCTACATCTGCCTCTTCTACTGTGAGTTCTGTCCCTTCTGTGCCTGTCCCTTCTGTGCATGTTTCTGTTCAGGCTACATCTGCCTCTTCTGTTTCTATTGGGAAGCCACAACATTTTCTGAAGTCCGAAATTAAAAGACAAAGATTGGAGTCTGGAGGTAAGAAACAAACTGAGTTGGATATGTACTTGAGTGAGGCAATATGTAACACCCCGTGTTACAATCCCTAAAATCAATTAAATCATTTAATCAATTACCCAAAAGAAAGAATTAAATCACAATAATTAATTAGGAAAGGTCCACCATAGTCCACGGGCCCTTATCCCTAAACTCAATCCTTAGTCCCAAAAGGAATAGAATTAACAAGCCTATAATATTAGTTCCTAACTAGGACTCCTAATTATATAAATAAGGGACTTAAGAGGCATCTAGAACCCCCCACCACAATAAACGCTCCACCACTCCAAAGAGCTCCAAGAATTCCCTTAGAAGAAATCAAGAAAGCAAGAAAGCTTAAAGAAAGACCCTTCATAGCCAAGGAATTAATTAAGGCTAAGAGGTAACCCATGTCTCAACAAAACCTATTTTCATAGCTATGATTCCCCCCTTAGGATTTCCCATATTATTGTGTATTGATGAATTATGATATTGTTATTGATGATTGGTGGGATGATTCCATGGGTAATCTTGATGATGAAAGGTTCTTGATAATTATGGTGTTCTTGATGATTATATGACGTTCTTGATGTTTATGTGATATTCTTACCGAATCTTGATATTAGAAGATGAATTGTGTCCTTGTTGATTTAAAAGTGATTAGAACCCTAAGTTGTATCTTATGGAATTATTCTTGGTATATTGGGTGGGAATTCGCATGATTGGGTGTTTATTATGTTTAGAAAAGCATGATAGATTATGTGCCATATGTTTCTCGATCTTTGATCCGTTAATTGTCTACGTGTGTTGTCAATTGCGTTTGAAAGTGTCTACACATGGTTTCGGGTTCCACAAAGGTTCCCGGGGCGTTTTTGTGATGAAAGAGTCAGTGGGGGGTAGGGGACCCGCCACCTACCCGCGGCCTTCTTGGGCAACGCCGGCAGCGGGCAGTCGGCGGGCGGGCAGCTGCCCGCCGGGCACCCGCTGCCCGAAGTTGCTACCGCCGGCGGGTGATCCCTCACCCACCGGCTACCCGCTGGTTTGGACCCCAATTTGGGATTTTGGCTTCCCCGTTTGATGTTCCCCCGACCCCCGTGGCGTCCCAACGGACTCCGTCTATTGTGCCTATGTCTAGTTTGATTTTCGGGTACCGTTCGTAGGTCGTATGAGTCTTATATATTGCATGCTAGTTGAATTGGTATCCCGTTGACCTAGGTGAAAGAAGTATGAACCCCTTAGGAATATTCTTAGTATGTGAAGGATCACGCATAGGTTTTGTTATACGTTTTCTCCCCCTTCCCAATGTGTTAATGTGGGTTGCATGTGCTTGCTGTGTGTTATGTGTGCATGTTACCCCGACTTGGTTGAGATCAATCGGGTTATACGGGTAGTCGGGTGGGCTGAGAACCATACCGGCTGTTAACCAAGCTGGTAGAGACCGGTCAGGTATATAAATATTATATAGGACTAAGATCCAATATACGGGCAGTTGAATGGGTTGAGAACCATCCCAACTGTTAACCAGGCTGGTAGAGACCGGTCAGGTATATAAATATTATATAGGACAAAGGTCCACTATACGGGCAGTTGAATGGGTTGAGAACCATCCCAACTGTTAACCAGGCTGGTAAAAACCGGTCAGGTATATAAATATTATATAGAGTTGCGGCCCATCGGTCGGTTGCGATCGACCCCTCCGTGCTGTGAGACGGGGCAGGGTGCTGCGGGGCCGTGTCAGAGCTATATGCGCTGACCCTCATGTATGGGCATGCGATTGGTCCTGTGGCGCCAACAAAGTGTGCTATGTGATGAAGTATGGATGAGTTGTTGTTATGAGTAAATTGGGGATAAGACTATGGGATTTGTACCGGGGATTGAACATGTTGGGTTATGATTATTTATTGTTCTTATCTTATCTGTCTTGCCTGTTGTGAACTGTATATGCCGGGTATAACTGCTGTCTGTGCTTAGCTCTATCTGTTGAGTCTATCCCTGTTTTAAAAGCTAGAGTTCGTGGGATATATCTTCATTTTCAAAAATGGTTTTCGTATATCTATATATATATATCTATTTATATTGTATTTCAACACGTTGGAGTGGGTTACCAGCATCTCTCGCTGAACAGATATATTTGGCTTTCAGGCACAGACAAGTAGATCACTGGAGCGCGCTAGAAGCTTGGGCGTAGCTTAGATAGTTTTTCCCTTTCGGCCTGCGTGCCATGATTTAGTATTGATACCATTTGAGGATATTAGTTAGTTAGCCTGTGCACCTGAGTTCTCTAGCTCAGGTGTGGCATAGCACCTCGCACTTTTGAATTATGTTTTGGGATTTAATGAGATTTCACCTTTATTTTATAAGTTTTAAATATCTTGAAAATCTGGGGTGTTACACAATAGTTGAAGAGGAAGAATCTTTTGATATACTTGGATGGTGGAAGATCAACTCTGGTAGGTTTCCAGTTCTGTCTAAGCTTGCTAGGGATGCCCTAGCCATTCCAATCTCCACTGTTGCCTCAGAATCTGCCTTCAATACTTCTGGGAGAGTATTGGATCCTTTTAGGAGCTCTTTAACTCCAACAATTGTGGAAGCATTGGTGTGTACACAAGATTGGCTTAGAATGCAAAATACTCCTTTATGTATTGAGGAGAACCTGGAAGAGTTGGAGAGGTTTGAAAAAGGTATAACTTTTACTGTTTTAATTTATACTTATATTTTAAATTACTTAAATTGTTAATACTTTTAACTTTTGTTTATTTTGCAGAGTTAAGTGGTGATGGTGGAAGTGGGAGGTCTCTTGGTTCTACACTTGCTACAATTCCTGTAATGTTATTATTTACATTACTTGATTTACTTACTTGATTTTATTGCAATCTTTTACAGTATTTGACTATTTGACTCAATTGCAATCTAATCTCACTTGGTATTTTTTGAGCCCACTGTGTTTGACTCAATTACACTGGACATCTGTAAGTATGAAGGCCTAGTAACTTATACTAAGTTGCTGCCTCAAGTACCTTGGGCATTTGGTTGGTAATGTATGAACTATTTTATTATGTTTGTTCCCTTTAAGTTGGCATTTGGCAATGATGAAGCTTCCACCTTTAATCTGAAAAGGAAAGGATTAAGTTGGTGAGTTGCTCTATACTTAAGTTATATTGAAGCAATATGCCCTTAATCCAAATCATATGGAAAAAATACTTACTAAGCCAAAATTTATATAATTTCTTCTCTGTTTTTCATTTTCTAATGCTTGCTCAGTTGCTTACCAGTTACTTGCTTGTGTACTAATTATTTACACTAACATGTCACAATTCACAGGAAGAAGAGCAGGTCTAATTGTCTGAACTGTAAAAGTCTAGGAGTTGAGTAGTTGACACTTGCAGTTGCTGAGTTGCTAATTCTGTCTAATTTTGCTGATTTTGGATTTTTGTTGCTTCAATTTAGAGTTTAGACTGTTCAGTAATCACTAATCAGTAGTGCATTTTGTAAATTTGCTACTTCCTTAGTTCCTTTATAGTTCTGTATATAGTTGTACAGAGTTTTGGTCTATAACAGTTCTTAGTTATTTATTTTTGTTAGAGTCTTAGACACTTAAGACTCTTAGTGTTAGTTAATAGACTACTTAGTAATACTAACTACTAAGTTAGTAACTTAGTATTACAGTATTAGTCTATTACACTATCAATTATTTACTTATTTATTCAGTATTTCAGACTTTCAGTTAGATATTAATGTGCTTTTGATTTTGATTTTTAAATTTATTATTTGATTTGTACATTAATAAAAAAATCGAAATACTGTCGGATATCTGACCGATCCGATTCAATCCGAACAACGTTATAACCGAACGGATAAGTCAACAAATTTAAACGGATAGGATAGTCAAAATTGATGTCCGAAATTCAATCGGAGATCCCTAACCGCTATCCTATCCGTCCGATTGCACAATCATAATGTATTTCATGAACCAAACATGTCATTAATAATTAATAAATTTGAATGAAATCAATTTTCACTTTTTACGGAAGAACACTGTTGTCATTTTATATTTCTCTATAAATAGAGCTGTCAAAACTCAAAACGGCCCACCCAGCCCCATCAGTTATCCTATTCCCTTACTTAGCTTATAAATTCTCTCTCCTGTACCCTCGTCTCACCCCATCAGTTTTTCGCCCCAAGCCGCCCTTCCCCTTCGCCCCTTCACGCAATCAACCAGCCGGAAGCCAGCACCTGCAGCGACATCGGCTTCACGCTCCTCACCGGCGACGTACTCAGGACGTCACACGTCAGACTGCCGGAGTAAGTCCACCATCTATCCATTCCTTCTTTGGTTTATTTTCTTCAGTGAATCCCAATCCTCTTATTGTTATTTATAACTCGGGTGACCTAGTTTTTGATTGTGGTTGCTGTAACTATTTAATTTCCCTTCGTATTCTGTGGTTGCTTAGGAATGTTTTGTGACTTATGATGTATATGTAAGTGTTTTTCGTAGCTATGCTGTCAGATGTTAATCAATTTAAATAAGACTTTAACCTTAAAATGGAACAATGATAAGAATTGTTTACTTAAGGTTTGGAGATATTTCAAGGCCATTGTTTTGAAGAATTGGATTGTATGGATTTTCTATGTATTAATGGAATAAATTATGATTTGTAATTTTATTATGTTTTGTTGGTGTTTGCTTACTTTTAGAACTTGTTAAATTTGATGTTTTAACTCTTTAATTGTTTTAAATTTATTAGATGTTTTAAACTTTTAATTATGTACAATTTTATATATGATATACGGAAATTGCCAGGTAATACAAAGAACAAGTAGTTTCATATTCGTCTTGCTTTGTTGCACAAATAAGAAGTGAAGGACAAAACTTTGTACTTGGACCCTAAAGCTATGGAGAACAATATGGAGAACGGAGGAGGATACAATGAAATTCCTGAGAATGCCCCTGAACGTAAGCAAATTATTCTGTGCTTAAAATGCCAGTGGCTAGAGTTTTGACCATTACAGATTCTCTAAGTTTATGGTGTGTAATTGTGTTTCCCTTTTTGATTTCCTTTTTCAGATTGTCCGGGTCCACAATCAGAAGCTGCAGGTAAATCTGATGCATGCCAAAGTTGCCCCAATCAGCAGATTTGTGCAACTGCTCCTAAAGGCCCTGACCCAGGTTTGTTTCTGGTACTACTTGGTTGAAATTTGCAACTTTTTAAAGTTTTTAAGGTTTTTACTTGTCATTGTATGGGGTGTCAAAATCTGATGTGTTCTGTCCATGTGCTTCTTAAAGTTCAAGTCTTTTGCATAATCTTTGACCATTTCATGTATGCTCTGTGACAGAATTGCCCATTGCAAGAATCTGTTAGCCTTTCAGTACTTGGTGGTATTTTGATGTTTCAATAAATGCTGTCCTCGAACATCCTAAGTCCGTGTCTTTTGTATAATCTTTTACCATTTCATGTATATGCTGTGAATGAACTGTGCACTACATTATCCCCACCAGGAGTATTTTTTTTATATTTGTGTTTTGCGCTGTCCTTGTCCCTTTCATGTATTTGTGGCCAAAGAACTGCCCAACTACAACTAGTTATTGGCCAGTCACTACTAAGTAGGATTTATAATAATAATTAGTTTCTTGCATTTCACTTATCTAATTAAGGAACAAAAAAGCCTACTAGCTGGGCCTTTCTTTTCCAAATGAAATGGGAGGAAAAGGCCTTCCTTTTGCAATTATTCTGAGAGTCGCTGCTGACCATATTTTTATGCTTTTACATAAATACCATCGTAGGTTGCTTACATTTAAAAAGTTTGGGACATTTTTTTTGTCCAGATTCACAATTGTATATTTGGGCGAGTATAGAGAATTTTTTATCAGGATATGGATTTCTGTAAAAGTTGGATATGGATTTTTTATTTCAGTATATAACTTTTCTGATTTTTATTCATTCCTTGCAGATTTGGTTGCTATTGTAGAAAGAATGGCAACAGTGAAGCACAAGATACTGGTTTTATCTGGAAAGGGAGGGGTTGGTAAGAGTACATTCTCAGCTCAGCTTGCATTTGCACTAGCTGCCATGGATTTCCAGGTTGGTCTCCTTGATATCGATATCTGTGGTCCAAGCATTCCGAAGATGCTTGGTCTAGAAGGGCAAGAGATTCACCAGAGTAACCTAGGATGGTCTCCAGTTTATGTTGAGTCTAATCTCGGTGTCATGTCAATTGGATTCATGCTCCCTAACCCAGACGAGGCCGTCATATGGAGGGGCCCTCGCAAGAATGGTTTAATTAAGCAGTTCCTAAAGGATGTCTATTGGGGGGAGCTTGACTTTCTAGTGGTTGATGCTCCACCCGGGACCTCAGACGAGCATATTTCAATCGTCCAGTTCCTCCAATCAACTGGAATAGATGGTGCTGTTATTGTCACCACCCCACAACAAGTATCTCTGGTTGATGTAAGGAAAGAAATAAGCTTTTGCAAGAAAGTTGGGCTGCAGGTTCTTGGTGTTGTCGAGAATATGAGTGGTCTCTGCCAACCATTATCACAGTTTAAATTCATGAAACCTACAGAGAATGGCGAGCAGATAGAAATTACAGACTGGGCCATAGCATATATGAGAGAGAAGGCACCAGAATTGCTAAATTTGTTTGCCTTTAGTGAAGTGTTCGACACAAGTGGCGGAGGGGCGGCTAAAATGTGCAACGATACGAGTGTCCCATTCCTTGGTGCAGTCCCAATGGACCCTCAGCTCTGTAAAGCAGCGGAAGAAGGGAGGTCTTGCTTTACAGATAACACGTGCCGGGCAAGCGCCCCTGCACTTAAGATGATTGTAGAGAAGTTGGCACAAAGAATGATATCAAGAACAGAGGATGGAGCATAGGTCTCTACTCTTCACCCACTTGCCGGTATTCTGCACTCCCTTTCTCCTGGCCTCTTGTGTCACGGTTTCTCGTCTCTCACTATATGCTTTTTGTTTGCAATTTTCTAAATTACTACTAGTTATCATAGGAACTTGGGAAATGTAAAAGTTTAGAGTACATATAAAACATTATTAAATGTTCAGAAGTTACTAAAAAATTTGTGAAACTGAAAAGCTTACTAAGTGCCTAGTGTTCTTGTTTTTGTGATTGGTTGGAAAAATGATCTCTATCGTCTTCTCACAGATTGAGAAAGGATGTTTTCTAGGAAACCTGAGATGGAGTTGTCTTAGGGAGTGGCTGTTTTTTTCCATCCGAGACAAAGGCGGTCTTAAGGCATCACCAATCCTTCTCTCCATTTTCCCCGTTATTTCGTATCACCATATAATTCTATTGTCCGATTTTCTTTCCAATTATTCTCCCTTTTCTTTTCCTTTTATGTGGGCTATCTTCTAAACACAAATTATCCACTATTTTTATTCACTTATCTATAATTATTAATAATTTTAAATTTTGATTTCAAATAAAAATAAATCTAAGTAACAAAATAAAGAATTCAAAAAAAAAATCAAAACCGTTGAAAAACAACTTTAATTTAGTTAAAAACAAAATCACACACACACACAGAGGTTGTGGATTTAGTGAGACCACCATAATACATGAGATCTCATCACATCCATTAACACATTCCCAATGGATGGTTAAAATTGAAAAATTCTTTTAAACTAATTAAGGATATTTTTAAAACATAAGGATTAAAAAGTAATTCTAGCATTGAATTTATTTTTGGTTAAGATTAAATTGGAATCTTGAGAATAATATTAGGTAAAATATTAAAGGTAACAACTAATAATAATTTGTATAGAGAGCTCATAAAAAATAACAAAAATATTGGTATGTGCATATGTAATGTGTACGACGGTGTGTGCCGGTTTGTGACATGACGTGTGCAAATCTTATGAATGGAGGCTTTGGATTTATTTATTTATTAATTTTTTTTGTATTTTTACGAAAATAGTTTATAAAATGTGTGTGTGTGAATTCATATATATGGTTTGTTTTTAAAGAAGAAGATTGTAAGAGTACTATGTGTTGTTTTGTTTTTTTTTTGGACACCGGAGTTGAACTTACGGTGGTGTGTACGAATATGTGCTTCGACGTGTGCAAACATTAGGGATGGGGGCATTGCTATTTATTATTATTATTTTTAAAAAACAAACATTAATATTAGTTGTGTGCGTGAATTTTTGTATATGTTTTGTTGTTAAGAAAAAGATTGTAATGTTCTATTCCTTGGTTTTTTTTTTTCTTTTTCTTTTTTTGTGCACCGGAGTGGTAATGTTCGGTGGTGTGTGCGTATATGTGCAACATCGTGTGCGAGTTATTAAAATTTATGGCAATGGAGCTTTGCATTTGTTTTTTTTTTTTTTTGTTTTTTTTTTTCCTGATGCGATGGTGGTTGCGCTTTTGTAGGTGAGCATGTGCAAAGTCTAAGAGTTCGCGTCGTCGTTAAGTTCGTTAGTAATTTTAATTTTGGTTTATGATGTGCCGTTGTGTGCGTTTATGACATTTGGCGTGTGCAAATGTTGATTGTATTTTAATTTTGGTTTATGCAGGTGTGTGCGTGCTTGACGTGTGACGTGTGCATAAGCCTGAGTAGTGTGTGTTATTTAAATGTTCTCAAATGTTTATTGATGAGTTTGGGGAGTTTATATGATGGACATAACTCTGTCATGGATATATGATTTTGGTGTGTGCGACCAAGACGTTAAGTGTGTGAATTATGCTTTACATAAACGGGTGCAGAGGGTGTTTTAGGCGGCAGCTAAGCATGTGCAAACTCGTTGTTAGGTGTGTGCAGTACGCTAAACATGTACATACCCAATAAGCAGAAGTGTGTGTTGCGCTATAGGTGAACGAGTGCAGAGAGTGTTTTTTTTTTAAAGGGGGTGCAGAGAGTGTTTTATGAGTTAGGTAAACCCACCTAATAAATCACATTCATTAGCTATTATTAATTTGTCCGGACATGTCAGTGTGTGCATGAAGAGTTAACGGCGTGTGCATTTCACTCAGTGAAGGAGTGTAATAACTGTGTGTGTGCATTCTCGGTGTTAGATATGTACGTTATGCTGAAAGAGTCCAAAGACAATTAAACTAAACGAAGATAACATGTAAACAAAGTAAATAGAGGCTGAAGTTGGATTCCATTACGAACATGCATAAATAAATATGTGTATCGACTATGCACACATGCCATGTCAACAAAATCATATCTTGGCCGGCAACTTAATTTCAATGATTCCCAAGTTCCATCCTTAGCATACAATGAAGTCAATGAGAAATAAGGAATTTGAGACCTCCACCTCCTTGAATTATGATATTTCACACGAGTAGGTAAATGGACTAAGAAGTGTAAGTATTTTCCCTAAATACAATATATTATAATATATTGTATTATTGGGTGGCTGTGGTGCAAGTAGGAGATTGAGTCAATTAGTGACTTAATCTGTTATGCAACTCAGGATATTCAGTTAAGCTTTAACTGAATATCTGCCTATGTTGATGGCATGTAGGCTTCTAAGCAAAACAGTCCTCCCACAGCTCCCGGTTTTTAGTACACGCACCATCACGTATTCGGGAGAGAAGTGGTAGACAAAAACACTAATGTCCATTCTGCAGGTTTACCATCCCAGAGACAATACCAACAACTATGGCTGGGGATATTCGGGCGATCCTAAAGCTTCCGCTGCAACGAGGCAGGTTACTCGTTTACTACAGTTCATGTTAGTCTAAATTTATTATCTAACATTTGGTATCAGAGCCATGATAATCCTTGCCTGGTTAATTAATTAGTATCAAATATTTTGTTTTGAAAATATTTGTTTTGGCTCCCTGAAAATCATATTGTATGAAATTTTATTGTTTCCTTCACAAACAAAAAAAAAAAAAAAATTCATGTATGCTTATTGATGATGGGTTTTTATTTGTGGTCTGACTGGAATCACGAGAGTGCGAGCACGGACCGGTAAATGGCAACGCCGTGAGGGGGCTTTCCATTTTCTATTGTTGTTGCCTACGAGTCAATGGCGATTCAGGAGCACCGGCCACTCCGGCGACGCGATGAACGCGGTGTGACGCTGTTGAGGATGCGTTGGCGGAGGTCTCATCGCGATGAAGAAGACTGGAGCGGTAGGCTGCGACGTGGCTGAGTTCCTGGTGACGCCACTGCTTCGTCTTCCGCTTCAGGCGACGGGCGGCGACGCACAGTGAGGCGGCTCGGCGGAGGAGGGCTGGACTATTGGCGTCATCGCTGTTCTCTCCTCCCCTTCAGGTGTCCGGCCGTCGCTGCATCAGACTCCAGTGGCGTCGCTGCTGGTCTGTCTTCAACTAGGCTGCGCCGGTACGGCATCGAAGTAGAAAGAAACAGAGAAGATGAGACCTCTCATTTCTCCTAAAACTTTGGACAAACAATCTCATCCTGGTACGCCTTTAATGATGCAATTATCTATTATTTACCATATATATTAATATTTGCCTTATATTTAATAATTATGTTTATATATATTAATTTTGGTAAATGGTAATTATTTGGATTAACATTACCATATTAATATTACCTTAGTTAATATTATAAATTATTTTGGCAAATGGTAAATATTAGTAATTGTTTAACTTTGAAATAATTATGCCCTTTAGTTTTTATTTTCTTAAATTTTGGCATTAAAAATTTCAAATTGAGATCAGGTTAATTGTGACATTATTTGTGATTGAATTATTGCCACTATTAGTTCAATTACAGTAATTCTTGTCACAATTAAATTATTATTCATTTTTGAGCAAATATTAATTTCTGATTTGCTATTTGAATTTTAATTTAATATTGAGAGTTATATTAATGCCCTATAGTTTTCTCTTAATTTTGGCATTATATTCACAATTAAATTGTTATTCAATTTTGATCAAATATTAAGTATTGAATTTGCTACTTGAATTTTAATGTAATATTAATGTGAATATTAAAATTGCTTGAATTATTGCAATTTATTTAGTATTTATGAGTTAATAATATATTAATTTGCAAAAATCCAAACATGCTTTGTATATTTTTCAAATTATTTTATTATAATTGTACATTTAGAAAAGCATATATTAAGGTTGGATATAGCATATTATTAACTCATAGATTTTATGTTAAATATCATTTAATTTTGGATCCTTAGGTTAATTTTGGACATTATAACCTATTAAGAGAGCTTGTTTGGTTTCTCATTTAATTTTGAGCATATTTTAGTCCTAATTTTTTACTTGGGACTTTAAAACCTATTTTGAACAAGCTATTTAGGACCTATCTTGGTCAGTATGGATCCTTCTATTATTTGATTGATATGTTAATAATAATTGTAGCACATTTTTTTTATTTTTCTTATAACATGTTTATTAAGTTTTAATTATTACTAACTACCGTATTTTGTTAACGGTATTTATCGTTGGTGATAATATAATGTTTGGATCTATTTCCATATTAGAGCATTTATCATTCATGTTATAATTAACTTGGGACATTAAGGTTTATGGGCCTGACTTAAGCAATTTTGTGCTATAATTATTATCATTGCGTGATTTTGAGTCATTAAGGGTTTAAGGATTACAATTACCATTTGACGCTATTAAGAATTATAATTATTGTCTTGGCCATTAAGAATTATAACTGTTATTTAAGCTGATTATGTTTTAATCTATTAATAGTTTTAAGGGCTTTAACAATAATATTCTGGTTTCTTAATGGTAAGCAATGTACATAGTTATGTTGCCTTTACATTTTTTTGGTAATTTGGTTATACCTTAATTTTAATCTCCGACTCATTACTGTATTGATTAATTATTATGTGGTAAATTGAGATTAGTATTTAGCATCCCTTAATTACAGTTTTACATTTATTGTGGTTATTGTTAATTTACATTAATGATTACTGTTATATTAAGTTGAGGGGCTAATCTCATTTATTACCTTTCATAATAATTATTAAATCATGGTAATCTACTATATTTGGTACATTGGTAAGATTACCCATGTCACTTTATTTTCTTACCAATAAACTGTTGCGTACCATTGGGCGATTCAACTAAACTCTCCGTGAAGATGGGAGATTTTGGAGGCTTTCTTCGCTATCGCTGTTAGTGCTATCGATAGGTGCAGTTTGCATC